TAAGGGTGTTTTAGTCCAAAACGCCGGTAATGTTACAATACCTAAGGGAAGGGAGGTAATGACATTCCCTGTAATATACCCCAAAAATCTATTATTGGTAATAAAACATTACCGGGAATGAGATTTCCGGCCAACCAAACATGGGAATGTGGGATTCTCATCCCATGGGAATCCCATAATCCTTGAACCAAACACCACCTTAAGGTTATCTTGATGCAACATAGAGCTTCCATACTTTTGCCAACACATTAATTAGTTGCTGCCGTGATTTCATATACTTAATACTTTTTTATGGACATCGGTTCTTCAGGTAAACTGCACATCGTACTTCTTTGGCCCAAAAATTTCTCCGTAAGTGCTTACCTTTTATCATGTTTAACGTCATGTCAAGAATTGTGCTATTCTTTCTTTCAGCTATTCCATTTTGTTGTGGCATGTGTCTGACTGTTAGTTGATGAATAATTTTGTGCTCTTTGCAGAAGTCTTCAAACAAATTTGATGTATATTCACCTCCTCTATAAGATCTGAGTATCTTTAAATATTGATCACTTTTGTCATTGCTTTGAATTCTTTCAATTTCTCCAATAATTCTAATTTTTCTTTCAATATATAAACCCAAAATTTTCTACTAAAATCATAAATAAAAGTTAAATAGTACATGTTTCCACCAAGTGATGGTATGTCAAAAGGACTAAGTATATCTAGGAGTGTTAAAAAATCTCCAACCTGTTAACCTGCCGGTTGGTTAAAAAATACCAGGTATTTATAATAAAAATATTAGATTTTTTGAGTTGGGTTATTTTCTTGAGTTTTTGGGTCACGACCCGGGTCACAAAATATCTTTTAACCTGGTACTTGTAGACCAGTACTCGGTTTCTTATATATTTTTATTTTTTTATTTTATATTAGATTTTTTATTCCTAATTCTCAAATTATTACACCCTAACATTTTAAATTCCTAATTTCTTAAACCATTTCACTATAACATTCTAAATTATTAATTTTTTAAATTATTTCACCATAACAATCTAAATTATTTCTTTTAACTTCAAAAAAATTTAAATTTAATTGTTATTTTTAATAAGTTTTATCTTTTAATTATATAATTTTAAATTTTATGAGTAGATTAGTATTATAAACCTTTAAATTTTAGAATTTTTCTATGTTTTTTAAATAATATAATTTAAAGGAAAAAAAGATATGAACTGCGAACCCATGATCCAAAAATATGGGTACCCGGGTTTTACGGGTACTCGATTTACGAGTACCCAAACTTAATGGGTTGGGACACAGGCTGACATTTTGATACCCGAAAATTACGAGTATCCGATTTTGAACACCCCTAACTATATCTATGTGTACTATCTCCTACGGCCTTCAGGCTCACCATGATCTGCTAACTTTAAAGATTTGTGTGTGTTGCTTTCTTTTGATGCAAGCCTCACGTAATTGATTTGTAGGGTTGATCTCTGATAGTTCTTTTATCGTACTTGCTTCTGATAAGAGCTTCAGACTCATAAATCCAAGATGTCTATATCGTAGATGTCACATCTATGAATCATTTTTATCGCAATCTTCATGCATTTTACTTCTCTTGACTCGATTTTGATGGTAAAGAAGCCATTTCGAGTCATATCGACTTTGACAATTAATTTTTCATTTTTATTTTTTATGATGAGGAGATATTCTCCACTTCGTATCATTTTTCCAAAAGTTGACCAATGTTGATGATGTTACTTTTCAAAGTCGAGACACATTAACCTTTGAAATGTATTTCTTTTCTCTATTTTTTCGAGTTATCAGAGCTTCGCCTTTGACTTTGCGTGCAAGTCATCACCCAAAGTTACTCGACCATGGACTGTTCCATCTAACTTTACGAACATCTCCTTTCGGCCACACATATGGTTGCTGACACAATTATCGAAATACCAAATATTTTTTTTTGAATTCTTCATTTTCTTTGTAAATGAGAAACAAATGAGATTTTTAAACTTTTCTTCTTCATCTTCTGATACATTATTTCTTTCTTTATGGTTAGGAGCTGATCTGCACTCGTAACTAAAGTGATTATACTTGTTACAAATTATAACATCATACCTGTGATTTATTTCCTTGTTGATATCTACCTCTACCTCGACCTCGGCCTCTGAATCCTCGTCCACGACATGATGTTTGATAATTTTCACACATTTGAGTGGTGTCATATGATCGACTACCACATTCTCGAGCTCCTCGTCCGCCTCTATTTCTTCCACAAAATCCTCCACTATTTCCTCGGCTTTTTGGTGTTGTTGCTGCTGGCTTTTCCTTCGCGGATGTTCATTTTGCTTTGCAACGGTTGTTCCAAAGTTTCAAAATATTCATTTTGTTTCATCTTCTGCTCATAGGCATATAGTGAACTCACAAGCTTATCGATCGATATATGAAATAAATCTTTTAATTCTTTGATTGTAATGACCACGTAGTCAAATTTTTGTGTCAGTAACCGCAAAATCTTTTCCATTATTCCAACTTTATCGAGTGATTCACCATTCTTCTTCATTTCGTTTACGATCGCTTTTACACAGCAAATATAATCATCGACACGTTCTGTATTTTTTATTTTCAATGTTTCAAACTCAGCTCTTAGAGATTGTAAATGTATTTTTTGTTTTCGGCACCTTGAAGAGATTTTTGTAAAATCTCCCATGCCTCATTCGCGGTCCTCACATCTAAGATTTTTTCAAAGTTAGATTTATCTACTCCTTAAAAAAAATAAAAACAATGCTTTATGGTCTTTCTTGTGGGATTCTTTTAGTGTCATTTTCTCTTCATTTGATAAAGTAACTTCTGCAGTTGTATTTTCGGGTTCGGCATAGCCTTCCTCGACGACATCTCAACAATCTTGGGAGCCAAGTAATGCCTTCATTTGGATACTCCAATTGCCATAGTTCGCCTTGGTCAATCTTGAGATTTATGGTTGAATCATATTGGTCATCTTCTCTACCACGTTAAACTCGAACCAAACTATGATACCACTTGTTAGAAGCGTAAATGAGCACTCGATAACTTTATAATTCACATGATATTATCGATACGAACCAAAATACAAATACGATATAAACACTAACTACAACTAGGTCAAAAACACAACCCTACTACAATTTTTGTATCTATCTTAATCTCTCTAATTTTTTCTTCTCATATACATTCATTCACTCATACATTTATATTTAAACTAAGCTAGAACACATATACATAGAATTATTTAACCGCTTGATTTTGTCGTCGTTCATTGCTTGCCGTAATGGAGTGGTAGACACTCATTTTAGTCCGGGCAAAAAAATATTATACTATTATTATTATTATTATTATTATTATTATTAATGTTACTTTATTTACATTTGTCCAAGCTTGAAGCCCACCATTATAAGCGGATCCAATCACCCCAGCCAGCCCAATACTCAAACCCAACAACCCACCAACAGTGATCCAACCCAATAGCAGACCTGAATCCAAGTGCAAATGGAGCCCCAATGACCCATCAACCAACCCAATGGCCGATTCGATCTGACCCATGATGCAACCCTAATTTTTTAGGGTTTATTTTCTTCATCAACAGCAGCCGCCACCAACAGGGAAAACCGAACCATCCACCGGTGCGTGTGATCCACGCACTCCTCCAGACCGGTGCATGAGCCGCCGCTGAGCCACTGTTGAATGCTTCTCGAAGCCATCATCCACATACGAACAGTGCACCCACATTATCTACAACAAACAAATCAACCAAATCCCACTAAACCCACTAAAAATAACAAAATAAATCCAGGAAAATCCGGATTTGATTTTAATTACCCTACCCACTATTCAACAACCAGTCGAAGACCCACATGCATGCAACCATATATTAGGTGAGAAGCATTCGAAACAAGGGAATTTGGGGGTTTTTGAAGAGAGAAAAAAGAGAAAATCAAGGGAAAAATGAGAAAAGAAAAACTAGGGGAGAGAGAAAAATATCAAGAGATTCGAGGAAAAAGAGATCAAAGGGGAAAAGAGAAAAATACCAGAAATATAAAAAAGAAAAAGTTTACATTTTCTCCTTTAGATTTGCTCCGATCTAACCCTATCTCAAAAATTCGACCCCACATCCTTGTTGAGAAGGAAAAAGTGCTTCAAATAGTGTTTTGTTCGCGTTTTTATGCCGTCGGCGGACGGAGGTTGATGCCAATGAAAAAATGAGAAAAATGAAGCTTTGGCCGAATTTTGGCCTTGTGTTGGCCTTTAAATACCAAACATGAAACGGCATCGTGTTGAAGGGACGGGGCTTGTAATTTTGTGCATAGGGTAATATCAATTCTAGTCCTTTTCATTTTGTAATCTGCCCTTTCGACCATTAATATAAGTCTTGTATTATTTTGTTCTAGGTATATATATTTTCCTCGATTATATTTTAGTCCTTATTTTTTTATTTCACCATTTGTGTGAACGTTCGAATTTTGCCCTAATATTTTTTATATTTTATTTTAGTCACTTAATGAAATATTACGGTATTATATTCAATAATGGATAGTAGAACAAATATGAAAGATGTAGTATACATGTTGGTAAAACAACAGTAATGCGCATTATAGTTATCGTTAGGAATGTGATCTTAATTCCCTCAAGTCAAAACTTTTGCTGTGGAAATAGTTTTTTGCATTGCTTTTTGTTCAAGAAATTAAACGAAATTGGAATCTAATGCCATAGTTTCTATTAAGTTGTTCCCACATATATTCCTTTATGACTATGTTCCGACAAAGCAACAATTATTAGTGGGGTTCAAAGAGAAGCACATAAAAGGAACAAATGATTTATGTTCACATATTTGTGGCCACCTCTGTGTACAAGCTGCTGCCACTTCATACCTTACTTAAACTCGTAAGGTTATCTTTAATGCAACGTGGAGCTTCCATACTATTGCCAACACATCAATTAGCTGCTGCCGTGATTTCATATCCTTAAATGCTAAGGATTTCAAGATATTTCTAGCCATATTGCTATTATGTTTAATTGTCACTTTTGATATTCTTGCCGACATTTAATTGTTCATCCAGAGTGCTGCTGCTTCAACACCAAATGCATTAATTGCCTCAAGAGTATCCAGCCCCACCATTCTGCAACTCCACCTTCTGTTTACACTGTTTCAAGTTTTGAATCTTGACTAACATATTCCATTTTCCTTCTCTTTCTTCCTACTTTCTCGCCTTCCAAACAGACAAAATCACAGAAACTTCAACTCATCGACAGATGGAGATCACCATAAAGGAGTCCACCATCGTTCGTCCTGCTGAAGAAACTCCCCAGAAAACCCTATGGAACTCAAACTTGGACGTGGTGATGACGAGGTACCATCTCCCCACTGTTTATTACTATACAAACCCTAATGGTTCTTCTGGTTTCTTTGATACCTTAAAGCTCAGGGAAGCTTTGAGCAAGGTTCTTGTGGCGTTTTACCCCATTGCTGGAAGGTTGGGGTTTGACGAGAATGGAAGACTTGAGATATTGTGCAACGGTGAAGGAGTTTTGTTCGTAGAAGCCGAAGCTAGTTCGATCATGGAGCATTTGGTTGGTGATTTCAGTGATGATTCTCAGGTTTTGCAACTGATTCCAAAGGTTGATTATTCTGGAGGAATTTCTTCTTATCCACTCGCTGTATTACAGGTGAGTTTTCAGCATTTATCCAACCAAAACAAAATGTCGAAATAGATTATATAACGTTATTTTTTTCATAATACCAAAAATAGCCCTCAAAGTCCCTAATCTTTTTTTAAACATTTTGGCCCTCACCTTTTTTTTAAACATTTTCTTTCTAACGTTTCATTTTAAGCAAAAACACTATTTTTATATATAAAAATCATTAGTTAACACATGATTAATGCTCTGAAATAGGAGTCTTTTTAACTTAAAATAAAATATTGAGGGTTAAAGTGTCATTGAAAAAAAAAATAATGGTCAAAGTGGTTATTTTGTCAAATATTAAAGATCTTTTTCCCTCTAAAATAAAATGTTAGAGGTCAAAATGTTCTTAAAAAATAGAATAGGGGTAAAATGATCATTTTAGTAAATGTTGTAGGCTAATTTTAGTACTATGCCTTTAAATTTTGGGAATATAATTATTTTGAGATTTAGGTCATTTGTTACGGTTCACGTGAAACTCATCATATTAAAAAAATATAAATTGGAATAAAATTGTATTTAAAAATAAAATAAAACTCATTATATTAATTAAAAAAATTATATGAAACTCATCGTATAAATTGGAACAAAATTCTCATATTTAATGAGAATAAAATTATAAATACATTTGTACCAATTGCATGAATATTTTAGATTTTAACTTGTTTTGTAAAAAGAAAATATTATTCATTATCTTTTAACACGCAATATTTAATTATCTATATAGTAAGTACACCTATGTTTACAATTTGATTCATATGAACTAATATTTAACATTTAATCTGATTTCTATTTTAACCAAAAGACTTAATTGATATAATATTAATATGTTTGATATAATTATTCGTGATAATTTATTGTCTGTATATTTTACTAGGTAACTAAGTTCAAATGTGGTGGAGTTTGTCTTGGAGTTGGGTGGCAACATACTTTAGGAGATGGCTTATCGGCTCTTCATTTCATCAATAGTTGGGCTGATATTGCAAAAGGTTCGTCGCCCACCGTTGGCCTGGTCATCGACCGAACTCTTCTCCGTGCTCGAGATCCGCCGACGCCTAAATTCCACCATGTTGAATACGATCCTTTTCCTTTAATGAACTCTACATCAGATGATATCAAGCCATCCACTGTGTCCACCTTTACGCTCACAGCTGATCAATTGAATACACTGAAAGATAAAGCAAATGCTGCAAATGCACACAGTGGTATAAAACATAGTAGTTTCAACATCTTAGCTGCACATATATGGCGTTGTGTAAGTAAAGCAAGGGGTCTCTCAAATGATCAAGCTACCAAGCTGAGTTTTCCGATTGATGGTAGATCGAAATTGGATCCTCCTCTCCCAGAAGGCTACTTCGGCAATGTAATCTTTCCGGCTTCACAGATTGCTCGAGCCGGTGATCTCAGAATCGAACCGTTTATCGATACCGTAAAGAGGATCAATGAACGATTGAAGGTGATCAATGATGAATATCTGAGATCATCACTTGATTACATGGAAAAAGTGTCTGATTTAAGCGCATTGGTTAGGGGACACCATACCTACAGATGCCCTAATCTTAATATTGTTCCATGGATATATTTGCCCCTATATGATGCAGATTTCGGATGGGGTCGTCCCTTGTACATGGGACCAGCAAATGTCGTCCATGAAGGCAAATTTTACATAATTCCAAGTCCAGATAATGATGGGACCATGTCACTGGTAACTCGCTTGGAAACCTCTCACATGAAACTCTTTGAGCAACTTCTTTATGAATTTTAATATTTATGTTGTTTGATCAATTTCGTACTTGTGATGTAATAGATGGGAACTAAGATTTGTATTTTATGTTTCGGATTCTAATGTTTGATTGTTATCGTAATTTTTTATTTTGAGTAGGGATAATGTATTGATTGTTTTAGTAAGTTATATGATTTCTATCTAGTTTGCTTATGAGACTTTGGTGATCTGAAACGAACATAGTATTTGGGCTTTTAAAAATAAGTATTGAAAAAAATTATATTATAATAATAAGAAAAATTAAATAAATTGGCTTATAAATTATTTTTTATTACGTTCAATAAATTATCTAATAAATACATCAAATTTTAAATAGAAAACATTAATAAATTTCATTAAATACTCAATTACTTACACAAAAGCAAGCATGATTCTTTTTTTTTTGGTTGTCTTCCAGATTCCAATGCTTCAATTTGACTAATCCAAATTGACTTTCGTTGTACACCTAGTTTTAGTGGGTGAGTCTCCCAACAAGAATTTTTTACATACACAATGACTCGAACTTGAGACTTTGCTTAAGTGATATCAAACTACTTACCACTTAAATCAACTCCTTTCGGCTAGCATGATATTTTTTTAAAAAGATACATGTTAGATTTTAACATTCACTATCTTGTCAAAAAAAATAATTAAGTGAAAAGTAAAAAAAATTTAAAAATACCACATCAGTATTGTCGTTAATTTTTATTAGTGAGTAATAATAAATAAATAAAATATAACGTTAAGTATGATTTTTAAAAAAATAATAAGTGTGACTATATAAAACATTTCTATTACATGCTCTAGTTCAACTTTACAACTGTTTTTTAAAAGAACAAAGGTAATAAAATATACAAATGTTTTTTAAAAGTTTTGGTGAGGGGCTACGTTGATCTGCAAAGTGGATAATAATGTTTTGAAAATCGGACCGGCCGGTTCAATCGGTTTAACCGAGAATCGTTGCTTAGTTCAGTTTAATCTATACCGGTTGAACTATTATTATTGAATCGGCCGAAACCATTGAACCGTTCAAACTGAACCGGCTGAAAACCAGAAAAAACCGTTAATTTTTTTTTAATTAAACCAAACGACGTCGTTTGTTAAACAAGCCAAGTCGAACTCGAGTATTGCTGAGCTCGAATCGAACTTGAAAATTTTAAAAGTAAGCTCAACTTGACTCAAACTCACAAGCTAAAAATTATCAAGTTCAACTCGAACTCGAAATATAATATTGAAACTTGAACTCAAAAAGGCTTGAACTCAAAAAACATTTAGAAGCTCAATTGAAGCCTAAAATTCGAGCTTAATTGAAGTAAAATAATAGTTCACTCAATGCTCACCAAAAGGATCCATGATTTTGAATGTCAAATTACTTTATTATTTATAGAAGTTAGTTGGGATGCTCTTCTATGTTTATTAGCCATGTGGGATTGTTTTGTTCTCATATTTTTACTCTTTAGACTTTTGGGATGCTCTTCTATGTTTCTTAGCTATGTGGGATTGTTTAAAAAAAAAATTAAACCAAACAATATCATTTTGTTATGATTTTTTAGTGTCAAATTTATTTTTTAATTATAGTTATATAATTATATTTATTATTTAATATGTTTTATCTTAAATATTATGTTGTAGTTAATTTGAATGTTTTTAACTTATATATGTTATGACTTGCTTTGAATATTACTTATGATATAAAAAATTATTTTTTATTAAATATTTTTGGTATTTTTATTTAATTTTTTAAATAATTATAATATCGTCCGGTTCTTCTGACCGGTCTGACCGGTTGAATCAGTAAATCGATAGCATGACCGGTTCGTTAACCGGTCCGATTCTGAAAACCATGGTGGACATAGCGTTACAATAGAAGTAGTTTGTAAAAGGTGAAATAAAATAGGAAAATAATTTGTTTTGGAAGTTTATATGAACGTTGCCATTAAAATAAATGCGACACGTGAAAAAATTTATTAGTGGGGTTCAAAGAGAAGCTCATAAAAGGAACAAATGATTTCTGTTTACATAATTGTTGCCATCTTCGTGTTACAGCTACTGCCACTTCATACCTGAATTAAACCCGTAAGGTTATCTTGATGCAACGTGGAGCTTCCATACTTTTTCCAACACATCAATTAGCTGCGGCCGTGATTTCATATCCTTAAATGCTAAGGATTTCAAGATATTTCCAGCCATATTGCTATTATGTTTAATTGTCATGTTTGATATTCTTGCCGACATCCAAAATCAGGTTTGTGTCTAACATTAACCTAGATTACTCTTCTTTGTTTCAGCCGTTCGCCTTCCTGCCTCATTCAGTGTACCTTTCCTGGCTTTAATTGTTCATTAAGAGTGCTGCTGCTTCAACACCAAATGCATTAATTGCCTCAAGAGTACACAGCCCCACCATTCTCTAACTCCACCTTCTGTTTACACTATTTCAAGTTTTGAATCTTGACTAACATAGTCCATTTTCCTTCTCTTTCTTCCTACTTTCTCGTCTTCCAAACAGACAAAATCACAGAAACTTCAACTCATCGACAGATGGAGATCACCATAAAGGAGTCCACCATTGTTCGTCCTGCTGAAGAAACTCCCCAGAAAACCCTATGGAACTCAAACTTGGACGTGGTGATGACGAGGTACCATCTCCCCACTGTTTATTACTATACAAACCCTAATGGTTCTTCTGGTTTCTTTGATACCTTAAAGCTCAAGGAAGCTTTGAGCAAGGTTCTTGTGGCGTTTTACCCCATTGCTGGAAGGTTGGGGTTTGACGAGAATGGAAGACTTGAGATATTGTGCAACGGTGAAGGAGTTTTGTTCGTAGAAGCCGAAGCTAGTTCGATCATGGAGCATTTGGTTGGTGATTTCAGTGATGATTCTCAGGTTTTGCAACTGATTCCAAAGGTTGATTATTCTGGAGGAATTTCTTCTTATCCACTCGCTGTATTACAGGTGAGTTTTCAGCATTTATCCAACCAAAACAAAATGTCGAAATAGATTATATAACGTTATTTTTTTTCATAATACCAAAAATAGCCCTCAAAGTCCCTAATCTTTTTTTAAACATTTTGGCCCTCACCTTTTTTTAAAAATTTTCGTCCTAACATTTCATTTTAAGCAAAAACACTACTTCTATATATGAAAATCATTAGCTAACACATGATTAATACTCTGAAATAGGAGTCTTTTTAACTTAAAATAAAATGTTGAGGGTTAAAATGTCATTGAAAAAAAGAATAATGGTCAAAGTGGTTATTTTGTCAAATATTAAGAGTCTTTTTCCCTCTAAAATAAAATGTTAGAGGTCAAAATATTCTTAAAAAATAGAATAGGGGTAAAATGATCATTTTAGTAAATGTTGGAGGCTAATTTTAGTACTATGCCTTTAAATTTTGGGAATATAATTATTTTGAGATTTAAGTCATTTGTTACGGTTCACGTGAAACTCATCATATTAAAAAATTATAAATTAGAACAAAATTTTATTTAAAAATAAAATAACTCATTATATTAAGAGAAAATCGCCTCAGTGACCAAAAATACCTTATAATATACGATTTTAACCAATTTTTTTTGGATTTGCCAAAATGACCAATAAAATCGCAACGCGATATCAAAATCGCAACGCGATTTAGAAAATCGCAACGTTAAAAAGAAAATCGCAACGGTCAAAAGAAAATCGCAACGCGAGCTTCCAAGTTCGCAACGCGATTTAGAAGAAAATCGCAATGCGACTGAGAGAATCGCAACGCGATTTAGAAAATCGCAACGTTGAAAATAAAATCGCAACGGTCAAAAGAAAATCGCAACGCGACTGAGAGAATCGCAATGCGACTGAGAGAATCGCAATGCGATTTATAGAATCGCAACGTCGAAAATAAAATCGCAACGGTCAAAAGAATAGTTAAAAAAATTTTGTTTCTTAAGAATTTTCTCTAAAAAGATAGTATCCGCGCGGACGTGTCGAAGACACGTACGACCACGACCACGACCACGACCACGACCACGACCACGACCCGACCCGACCCGACCCGACCCGACCCGAGACGAGACGGCGGCGGCGGCGGCGCGCGAGAGTCCCCCTTGTCCTCTTTCACTCAACAAGGAAGTGCAAAATACAAGCCTTAAATATAATTCCCAATAGTGTTTCCAATACTATGTGGGATTGAGCATTACCAACACTTGTCCCCAATATCATTATTCTTCATAAGTTATCATCCATTACAATATGAATTATCGATAATAAATTAATTCATTTTAATAAGTATTTAAAATTATAACTTGATAAATACATGAAATAATTCTATTATTAAATAAAAAATATATTTTTTATATTAAAATTATTGAGATAGATATTTACTATAAAAGTAAAAGATTTTTTTTTCACGTACAACCTCTATGTGAATTAGTTTCACAATAAGGTATCAGTTATGCATTGGATTCTTTCGTATTAGATGGTCTTTAATAAGATCATCATCATCATTCTTTTGTTCAACAATACCATATATTAATGAGGTATATTGGTTCATTAACACGACTAATTCATATTGTAATGGATGATAACTTATGAAGAATAATGATATTTGGAACAAGTGTTGGTAATGCTCAATCCCACATAGTATTGGAAATACTATTGGGAATGGTATTTAAGGCTTGTATTTTGCACTTCCTTGTTGAGTGAAAGAGGACAAGGGGGACTCTCGCGCGCCGCCGCCGCCGTCTCGTCTCGGGTCGGGTCGTGGTCGTGGTCGTGGTCGTGGTCGTGGTCGTGGTCGTGGTCGTGGTCGTGGTAATACGTGTCTTCGACACGTCCGCGCGAATACTATTTTTTTAGAGAAAATTCTTAAGAAACAAAATTTTTTTAACTATTCTTTTGACCGTTGCGATTTTCTAAATCGCGTTGCGATTTTCTAAATCGCGTTGCGATTCTCTCAGTCGCGTTGCGATTCTCTCAGTCGCATTGCGATTCTCTCAGTCGCATTGCGATTTTCTTCTAAATCGCGTTGCGACTCTCTCAATCGCGTTGCGATTCTATAAATCGCATTGCGATTCTATCAATCGCATTGCGATTCTATCAATCGCATTGCGATTTTCTTTTAAATCGCGTTGCGAACTTGGA